CACAGACCTTTTTTTGTGCCCTGAACCAGTAGTAATGCTGGCAGGAACCCACCTCTGACCTGGATGGCAAACTTTTATTGTCTGGATGGTAAACCTTTATTGTATTGAGTTGCAACTATCACTCTACTTTCTTTTATGGATTACAAGTTGTCAGAGACTGCAAAATGTTTATAGTTATGAACCTATTCACTGATATGAAGAGTACGATCTTTGAATAATTTTTTAAATATATAAATGTAAAAACAACAAGCTGACATTTCATTTTCTACTCTCAGTTGAGACATTTTTTTCTTTTCAACTAAGATTTTGTTTTTCTTTTATTCATGTGTCATTTTTTAATATATCTGTGGATTGCAAACTATATCAAGAGGGCCACACTAACCACAGAAGGGGCCAAAAGGAGAACTTAGAACTCCTAGTGGAATAATTCCTAACAGTGTAAATAATTAACCAGTGGAATGGTTTGATTTCAGAAGTTGAGGGTGCTCTATCACTGGAGGTTTTTGAGAAGAGATTGGACAGTCATTTGACCCAAATGGAATAGGTCCTTTCAACTCTGCTACTCTGTTATTCTAGAAGACCAACATTTAAGAATTTCAGTTTGATGGGCGGGGCTGATGTCGCTACAACACGACTTGCAATCATGGAGCTCCAGGATTGCTGTCGATATCTGGACGGTCCTCTTTGGACCTAAACTGTCCCACATAGATAGTGATAGAGAAGGGCATGTCTTGCTGATCTCAGGGGCATCACAAAGCCCCTGATTGATCCAGAAGAAGCTCTTTTTTTCCAGCGAAAGAGAAGCAGCCATTGAAGCTGTAAAAGGTTGGGACAGCCCCTGAATGGAAGAAAAGGAGGAGAGAGAGAGTGTCAAAATGATGAGATAAATTTTATTATTAGAGAAGAGAACACCCCAAAAGATTTAGAGTTAAATTAAAATTGAAGACAGAAGAAAGTAAGCGGCGAATTAGCCTGGATTAAAACTATTGTGTTATCTCTTTCACTTCAATTTCATTTCTTTCTATGGATGGAACTTTTACAAATGCCTCTTACTTTTAAATTGGACTGGCCTTTTTCCCCTCCTTCTATTTTTCTCCATTTTTGTATTTGTGGATTAAAATTATTTCCTCTCAAGGCTCAGCTGGATCACAACTTTTAAGCTTTTTCCCCCTTTCTCTTCTTAAATCTGGAGATTAAAGAGAGGTAAAAGCAGAGAAAAAAGAAGTAACACTGCCATCTAGAGGCTGGAGGCTTGGTAACATCTGATATTAAAAGGCTATTAAGCACGTTTTGTTTATACAGGTGCTCTTTCGGAGTAAAGAGAAAGTCTTGACTTGAAAGATTACACTGAATTTTTTTGAAATCTAACAAAAAGCCTTGGATGTCTTAGTGGCATTGTTTACAACCTGGAAAAATTATGCAACATGAAGAAGAAAAGGAACTAACATTACAAATAATTATATTAGAAATTCAAAAAGTTCTAATAAGCACAGAGAGAATTGATAAGAGAAAGGGGAGAAAATTTGGCAGAAAAAATGAGAGTAATTTTGGCAGAAGCACCAGTGATAACTAAAGGCAAGCTGATGGAAGGAACAGATGGAGGGTTTCGACTCTATAAGATATGGAATGAGCAACAAGTTGCTAAGAGAAGTCCACATAAGATTTATTAAGAAAACACTTAGAATACAGATTCTACAAATGGCAAGAGATATTGGACTGCACTACTACTGGAAGGATACAGGATGATGAAATGAAATGTCACAATAAAATCAAGTTAAACAGTTAAACTTTGAGTATTATGTATAAGACAAAGTAATAATAGTTATGGTCAAACAATGATAATGCATTTATATATACTAGATTGATAATATGAAATTTTATATAAAATTGCAAGTGGGACTATGGAGATGATGTTGAAAAGCCTTTTTATAAAAGATAAACAACTTTATATAGAATAGAATATAAAGATGTAACATCATTAGATGATTTCAGGACAATGTAATGAAACGCCATAATATAAATTTACTTTAAATTTAGTATGCTTCATATAAAAAGGATGTAATAATAGCTATACTCAATGAATGTTTAATAATCATAATAATTGTATACATACAGTATATATTAGATTGATGATACTAATAATGGAAAAAACATGGAATTGGAAATTATTAGAGAATGTTACCAATACTAAAATAATAGAATGACTTAGAATAGGATATAAAAATACTTTATTATTGGATATATTGAAGATGATATAATGAATTATTATAATATAAATGAATTCATATTTAGAATACCTTGTTTAAAATGAAGAAACAATAGTGATGATCAAACAAATGAAGTATTACAACAATAATGTATAAAATATATATATTGATTGACAATATGTGACATTAGATAAAATTTAAGTGATGACTATGGAAAGGACACACAAAAACCTTGTAACCAATCGACACACCGTACGTAATTGAAGATGTTTTTATGTTACATGTCTTGCTTGTTTATGTTTGTTTAAAAATAAAAATTTTATTTAAAAAAAGAATTTCAGTTTAAATTTTCTTTTTAAAAAAAATCTTCTAAATTTTGTGGAATTTTGAAAATGAACTTTCATAATTTTTAAATTTTTGAAAAAAAAATCCTTTTAACTAGGAGGCCTGGTAGCCCAGCTTAGAGGCAGCCCAACAGCCCAGCTGAGTGGAGGCAGTGCGTTGCAAATGGGGGCCCACTGATCAATGGTGAAATGATGCCAGGTGGCAGTAGACCAATGGCTGTGAGCAGCACAGCAAAACAGCTGAGTCGCAATGGTGCAGAACTAAATGGCAGCGGAGCGGAGCGCTCAGAGCAATGACTGAGAGCAGTGTGGTAGACCAGCTTAGCAAATTTTAAAAAGTTTCTTGAAAAAGCATCACATGTTTGAGGGGCTGCTACAAAGATGAAGAGGTCAAAAGTATTTTCCAAAGCATCAAAAGGCAAGATAGGAAACAATTGATGGAAGCTAAGCAAAGAGAGAAGCAACATAGAACTAAGGAGAAATAAGTTTCCAAGCATTGAGTTTAACAGCATTGAGCGATCAATGTTTTGCGTACATTCCTTGAGAATTTATCACCCTCCTTTATGATATGCAATAGTGATTATAATTCTACTTAATGAATATAAATAGTGAGTACATTCCACTTAGATTAAAGTAATTCTTTGAACATTCAGTCCTTGGAATGCAATCAGTGATGGGATCCTGCCGGTTTAACCATCGGTTTGGTGATTGCGCATGCACGCAGTTTTAAGAATACTTACCTTCTGTGTTACTGTGTTACAGCTGAGGCATGGCAATCTGCTTTGCTGCACAAATCAGGTGAGAAGATATAGGTCAGTATAGTACAGGGGCAGGCGTGGGCCCACCTAATTGTTGTAAACCGGTTCGCTTCCAGCTGATTGTCAGAGCTACCGGTTTGCCCGAACCGGTCCAAACCGGTAGAATCCCACTCCTGTATGCAATCTTATTATGATCTCAAGGCAAAAAAACACCAGAAAGATCATGTCTCCTCTTGGTCTGAGAAGAGCTGAAGATAAAAGGATGGGTCTGAAAAGGAGATAGTTGGAAAGCCAAATAGGGAGGAGTTTCAGCAGGAAAAGAAGCAAAACCAATTAAAGTGAGTGATCCTTTCTATAACTGCTTTTGCTTTGCAATTATGAGGATTGGCAGGAAACAAGTCAGGGATATGCCAGGATACAGGACTGATAGAATCCCTCCCCCCATAAAACATAAAAAAATGAATAGGACGTAAGTAATGAATATGGAATCTAACTGAAAGGAATAAATTAATGCCATTTTGCCTCTGGGATCCCACCATCCAAACTAATTTCTGCTACAGTGTTTGAAAGCAACCTAATACAGAATAGCATTTGTATTAGCTCTTCCCATTTCAAAGACTATAGTTACAGCAGCAGCAGCAAGGAAATAATGATCATTTCTGTTATAACTTCAATTCACAGCAAATTAAGATTAAGATTGCTTGAACAGGAAAGGAACCCAAGGGCACTTCAACACAGCCTTTTTTTTCCTGCCCTTCTCTTCCTGCAAAACATTTTTAAGTTGGTTGCAAAATGTGTTCACTCCTGAAAAGAGGCAGGGGATAGCATAAGCTTACCCAGTGGTTTCTTCCAGATGACTAAACAGGGCGTGTAAAAATCATAATTCATTTAATATCCACATTCCAAGCTAAGGCAGGTCCAGGAATAACAAAATATTACCACCCCCTTCCTACAGAGAAAAATATTTTCCCTTCTGATTAAGCTGTGCGCAAGCCTGATCTTAATCCCTCAAGTCAACTTCCAGTACAACCATTTTCAACTTGGGGCTCCCTGAGAGATCTCTGGGGAATCTGAAAATGTAGGGATTGAAAGTTGCCCATGAAATCTATTACAGAACTCCAAATTCAGATGGGGGAGGGCAATCAGATTAAGAGGAGTTTCAAGACCCATGAAGGTGTGAGTTCCATGACAGACGGAGTTGATCATAAGGAAAGACTGCTGTACATTATGAGCCAAGCCATAACTGGACCATTCCGGTGAGGATGTTACAGTTCCAACAATACATAAAGGTAGAATTCTAATTTAGAATAACAGAACATGACCAAATAAGCTCATTTGGTGCCTTCCCTGCACATATGACAGCTGTTGCTTATCCGTTTTTGATTTTTGATGAACCTCACCCAGTCTTTCTGGAGTTATCAGCCTTCTGAATTTGACAAATCAATAAATAGTAGTCTGGCCAAATGCAGATTGCATGCTATGACTACCCTCAGCTAATAAGGGAACAAAATCATAGTTTGCAATATAAATGCCATTTTTTTCTGTAAAGTTGAGACTGGAAATGGTAAGTGTCCTGGATTTGAAAACTTCCAGCAACAACTGTTCCATAGTGATAATAATTTGGTATGTTGGGGACCAATGTCTTGAAAAAGAAAAGCAGAGCTTCATATTTAACCACTAGCTGAAGCATGATGTCCAAACTGGCCCAAATGTTACAAGGTAACCCACAGAATGAAACAGAAGTCAACTAAAAATATAAGATATTCAGACTATATCTGTTAGATACTAGCTTCAGCTACAATGGTTTCCACCAAGGTCCTCTGTTCCGGCAGGAACAGAGGTTTAATCTCATTGGTCGAAGGGTCTGACAGCACTGGATTGTACATAGTTGCTACTGAGTTAATAAAGAGCTGTTGTTACTGTTAGCCTGTGTGTGCCTTTCCATTATCCAATCTAACAATATCAGAGTTGCATTATTTATCCTGGTATAAGGTAAAAGGTAAAGGTTCCCCTCACACATATGTGCTAGTCGTTCCCTACTCTGGGGGACGGTACTCATCTCCATTTCAAAGCCAAAGAGCCAGTGCTGCCTGAAGACATTTCTGTGGTCATGTGGCCAGCATGACTAAACGCCGAAGGCACATGGAACGCTATTACCTTCCCACCAAAGGTGGTTCCTATTTTTTTACTTGCATTTTTACATGCTTTCGAACTGCTAGGTTGGCAGAAGCTGGGACAACTAACAGGAGCTCACCCCATTACGTGGCACTAGGGATTTGAACAGCCAAACTGTTGATCTTTCTGATCAACAAGCTCAGCGTCTTAGCCACTGAGCCACCGCGTTCCATATCCTGGTATAAATAAGTGTAAATCAGAGTCCTAAAGTGTCAAGATTCTTCATGTCAAAATCATCCTCCATTCCTTGCTGAATGAATTGGAATTTAAATAAACCATCATAAAGATGGCTTTATTTATTTATTTATTTATTTATTTATTATTTATTTGTTTATTTGTTTATTTGTTTATTTGTTTATTTGTTTATTTATTTATTTATTTATTTAGCATATATTATATATTTGTGCAAAGTGAGAAAACCCAAACCTTACAAAACCACCAAGCAACAGGCAAAGGATGATTTGTATATCTCTTCTCAACCATACACATACACACTTAACTATGTCACATCATAAATAACTATAGCTTGTAAATCCAAGCCATGTGGTCAAGAATTTATAGCTTTTCTATTCTTTATATGAGTTTATTTTGTGTGATTTTTCTATCCTGATGTTTTAGAACAAGTCTGAATAAAGAGACTTGCTATTTAGACATTTATGGCCTGGCACAATAGCAACACGGCATTAAAATATATATTTTAGAAGTAACCATAAAATCCATAAAACCTTGACAGATTTAGAGTATCAGGCAACACCAGTTCTTACAAGGTATGGATTATATGATAACCTCCTCTTGTTTAGTAATGGACAAACAAGGCAGTCTTCTAAAGCCTAGCTGGGTACATATACAGATATATACAGTCTCTTAAATTATTGCTCCAAAACCAAGTTACTAACTGAATCTGAAAAGAAATTGTTAACTAATATGATTTCAAGAAGGGGGGAAAAAGGGCCAGTAGCTCCCAAATGCGTTCTGGCAATAAAATCCTGAAAAAATGAAGTTTCCAAATTACGAATGAAGGTGAATATATGTGTCCCACGATAATGTTGTGGGATCCAATCTGAGTCAGTCACCGGGACCAGAGGTATAGTCTTCCGAGCTTTCGAATTCATGTTAGAGCCCATCCTCTGGGAACTTCTCTGTATGTTTTGGGCTGTTCTGTGTGTGGAACTTATATGGTGGCCGTTGTGTCTAGTTTTTTAGATGTAGATTGGGGTGTTTCCAAATTACTTTTACAGGCAGATCTACACGGAAATTCTATCAGTAGTCTGAGTGTAGTCAATGTATGTCAATTTACGGTAATCCCTTACTTCAAAGGATAGTTAGGAGTGCAGAAAAAAATCAATTGTAACTTGCCTGCTTTTCATTGGGAACTTGTATACTGCATGAGCCAAAAAAGGGATGGGAAAATATCTACACACCCTGAACATAAACTGTTTCAACATCTTCCCTCATTGCATGCCCAAACAACCAGACACAAAGAGTTTTCCCTCATGCTATCACTCTACTAAACATCTAATTCCCACTGTACTGTTAGATATTTACCCATGTAGTAGGGCTGTATGATATTACCCTTCTCATCTTCCACATCTTCTCATCTGTCTCATCTTTTCCACTACCTTCTGCTATTAGTATCTTATGATTTACCATTTGTTGTTTGTATCTCATGATTTATGATTGTATCTTATGATTTATGATCTATGACTTATCACTTTGTGTTTGTATGTACACTGAGAGTTTATGAACTAGAGAGAAATTCCTTGTGTATCCAATCACACTTGGCCAATAAATAATATTCTAATTTCAATTCTAATATTCCAGTTCAGCTTTCTCCAGATAGGGCTGCAGTTAGTTAATTCATCTAACTCTTTAAAATGCTTTCTAGGAACAATGGACATACCTTCTGCTCCATAGAAAGCATCAAGCTCAAGAGCCTTGACACTCTATTAAATCTCTGCAGAAGTCAAGGGATTAGGGACAAGTCTTTTGTCCCTAATAGGCAACCACTCCATTTTCAACAGCAACGAAAAATGCGTGAACTATTTTTTAAAAAGCTACTTAGAACTTGTGAAAATAGAAAAAAAGTAAACTTCCTTTAATTAGGACTACCATACCTGAAGCAACAATCTTCCAAGATTGCTGTTTGTCATGAATAGGAAATTTCACAGTAAAAGCAGGAAGTGATGAGGCTGTCCACCATACCAAAGTAAAAGTTATCACATTGCCAGGCAAATATTTCATGATTAAGAAAACCACAACTATCAGAATTTTTATCAGACATTGCATACAAGGTCTCTGAGGAAGACTATCAGGCATGTAATGTTCAGTCTTTATATTTTCTGCAAGATTTCCAATGACTATGTTTAAGTTTTCCTTATACTCACCAAATTCAGGAGGAGGGGGAATCCTAAGGTTAAAAAAATGTGTTCCTTGTGTTTTTTCTAGTGACGAGTTAAAAAGAGGGAATGCATTTGTGGGGGAAAGAAAGAGAAACTTACAAAAAAAAAGTTTCACTTCCATTTAGTTTTACACTTCTCTACTCTTAACTTGTAGAGCAAAAATATAATACTGTTCTTTGGTCACTGCAATAATAGAACCCCGAGAGAAGGAACTGATTTTAATAAAATCAAAGTTAACAGACTAGCAAATTCACTTAGTTTTACACTTCTGTATACCAGAACGTGGTTTTCAAACAGTAAAAATACTGCTTTGTTGAAAAAGATCCTCTGGATTCTGGTTATTTTCATAGGCATAGTTATATATAATTAAATCATAATTCTGAAAATGTAATCACACAATCATTTATTCTTTCTCATTCTCTAATCATTTCAAATCTTTGCAGACACTGAAAATGTTATTATCATTGCACATAAAACAACATAATTAAGATGTTCAGTTAATAAGTTGGGATACAGTGAACATAACAATGTGTTTCTGAGTAGATAACTTTATAATGTATGTGTTAGGAATATAATTCTAATGGTTGGGTTGGCAATATAAAAATCATGTAACAATGTTGTACCTGTTTCTTTAAATCATACTGTAAAATGTGATTGGTTGCTGTTT